TCCACTGCCTCCTGCAGTTTGGTCAAACTCATGCTGGTAGCTTCGAGAACACTGTCCAACCATCTCGTCCTCTGTCGTCCCCTGCTCCTTGTGCCCTCAATCTTTCCCAACATCAGGGTCTTTTCCAGGGAGTCTTCTCTTCTCATGAGGTGGCCAAAGTATTGGAGCCTTAGCTTCACGATCTGTCCTTGCAGTGAGCACTCAGGGCTGGTTTCCTTAAGAATGGAGAGGTTTGTTCTTCTTGCAATCCATGGGACTCTCAAGAGTCTCCTCCAGCACCATAACTCCGCTTTTCCTTAGGAAGTCCCTATTTTCATTGGTGAAATGTTGAAGGGTGTGGAGTTATTGACCCCAAACCAAGGAGATAAGTAACTATACAACCTTTGGAAGACATCTGAAGCCAGCCCTGTATAGGGAAGATTTTTTTTTATGTTTGATGTTTTGTTATGTTCTTATATATGTTGGAAGCCACCCAGAGTGGCTGGGGCAATCCGGTCAGGGGGGTGGAGTGGAAATATTATGATTATGATTATGATTATGATTATGAATGAATAGCATGTCCCTATTTTCATCGGGAAAACGTTGGAGGGTATGTCATAAAGGCTTATGATGGCTGGTGCTTGAAAACCCTTGTGCCCCTTTGCAGGGCTTTGCAAGTGCCCCTTTTGGCTCAGTCATGCTTTTACCTGCTGAACTCCTGATGTGATATATACTGTCAAGGGTAGAGTAGGTGGGCCTGGCTTAGCCAAAATGGCCTTGTAAGCCAAATGGTGGAGGCCTGGTGAATCTAGTTAGCCTTGCAGGGTGGAAGTTCTGCACCACTGAATTAACATTATAGTCTAAAGACCACTTTGGTGGTATTTTACAATTCCCCAGTCATTCCAAGTCTCAAATGGCCAGTCACTTTTGCCACTATGACAAAAAGAAGAAGTAAAGAATGCACTTTCGGATACAGTAGATGAAAGGGAGTTGCAGGGAAAGATAATGGATCTAGAAATGTAGAAAACGGTTGCGTCAAAAAGAAAAGAAAAGAAATCAGATGGAAAACCAGTGCTCAGCATTATGCTATATTTAAACTTAAATGTCTTGGGTCAACTCATAGTGAGAAGTTAGCAATTATTAGGCTGTCTGTTTAAATTACATGTCATGTAGAGAATAGAGTATTGAAAATCAGCAGTTTTCAGTTCCTTAGCCTAAAGCTGACCCTGCTTAGTAATTTTGCAATTCCAGCTTTTCCTCTAAAACAGCACTTTGAACAAGCTGTTATTTACAAGGTTCGGTTATTGAACAAGGCTTGGTGGTTAGCACTAGCAAACCCTGACATTAAGGGTGTTTCTTGGTGGAAATGCCTATGTGATTATCTCAAATAAATGCCATGTATTTGTCTTGGAAGGGCTCTGCCAGACATCATAATGCGGGCAAAGCCACCAGCAACGGCCACCAGCAAATCAGAAAGTCAAGTGAGTGGGATAGTAAAAGCAAACAAGCTGTATTTGGGGCTTATGCAAGGATGGGTGATGAAGGGGAAAACTGGGGGTTGGAATCATAATCTGGGTGAAACAAGTGAGTATTTCTACTAGAATTTATACCTAGAGCAAGACTAGGGAATCTGTGGCCCTCCAGATGTTGCTGGAATGTAGATCACATCCACACCGTGTGTTGAAAACACTCTTATATGACTATTAAAGTGGTACAGGTAGGGTCCTTTAAAAGAGGCCCCGTGGATACAGAGTACACATGTTCCACGGGGCCGTTTTTAAAAGACTCACCCTGTATAGGGGTGGTTTAAATGTATGGTGCAGATGTGACTTGCCTCCTGTCCATTGGCAGTGCTGGATGGAGCCAATGGGAGATGGAGCCTGGCAACATCTGGAGAGCACCAGATCCCCCATCCCTGATGTAGAGTGAGATTAAGACCATGTAGATAAACAGTCAAGGCAATACCCTGGTTGTTGGCATCCATCTGTATTGGGAGACAATGGAAGAGTTCGCCATCGGGAGTAAAATGAAACCATTGGAGAGTTACAGCACCTGCTGTGGCTGTAGAGACCAAGACATGCTGCAGCTGCGGCAGATGAAAGTGTCCAGTTTCACTGCTACTGCTGTCCCATGGTGTTCCCCCCTCTCTCTCCACTCCTCCCAGTGGTCATTTCTTTTTTCTGTTTTTTAAAAAAGAAATAAATAATATTTATTAGTAGTTTCAGGATTATAAGAAGAAAAAGAAAACATTTAAAAAAACTATAATACATAAAAAGAAAAAAAAACACAAAAACCAATACAATACAACAAAAAAAGAAAGAGAAAAAAGAAAACAACACATATCCCAAATTACATATCTAAAACTTCCATTTGCTTGTTTCATTGACTTCCTCACACCTCCCTTTTTGTATTCTAGTTTAATTAGTTATTTCAGCAAATTCTTTCCATCTTTCTCAATTTTTGTTAAAAAAAATTTTTTATCCTAACCTAATTTAACCTAATAATTAGCTCAACAAATCCTTTCCATCTTTCCCCATATTCTATTATTCACATTACCTTAATTTATTTAACCTTATCTTACCCTAAAATACCTTAAAGCTTGAATCTTAGTTATCCAATATACATTACTCCTGATATCATTTCTGCTAAAGTCATATAGTTTCATTTCAACATTTTCCCTAATATTCATTAATTTTTAGCCAATTCCCTAAATAGAAAATTTTCTTTATAAATTTTCTTCCAATCTTCACCCAACGTCCCTTCTTCCTGGTCTCGGATCGTGTCAGTCCTTACTGTCCATTCCATCTAGTCCATCAACCTGGAAGCCTTATGTCCGAGGCCCTTAAGTCTCTTCCATGTCCCTTCTGCAATTCTTCTTCTTGTTGTTTATACTTGACCTTTCCTTGTCTTTTGTTGGTCTCTTTCTTAGTTTCTTCCCTTTCTCATTGAGGGGTAGGCCTCTGGGGGATTCCAAGCCAAAATTGTCTCCATCTCCCTTCATCAGACCCGCCCATTCCCCACAGCCCCACTCTCCACAATCCTCAATATAGTCCAAAAAGTATTTAAAAGCATATTCCAAGGTCTCTCCAACGTTGGGAACCTCCTCAACTCCAGACTCCCCCTGGCCCACTCCAACTTCAATCTTCAATGACAGCGGCTCATACACCTGTAGGGCCTCGGGACTCTCCATTTGTATTATTTGGGGTGCAACCGCATCCTCCTCCATTATCTTCTGCACTTGCCCAGTCAATACAGATTCATGAATTGGTCCCTGGATAGTTTCTGTATCAATATTCCCTGTTTGCCCACAGTTATTAACTGCAACAGTCAAATCCATTTTCTCATTCATCAAGTCCATCTTCTCATGCATCTGTTCCAGCAAGGCATTTGTTTTGCATAAGGCAAGCACCCAGTCTTCTTTCCAGCTCATCTTTAGTCAAGGTCAGAAAAGCCTGTTCCCACGGTCTTAATCTCACATCTGTTGAGCCCTCAAATGTACTGCAGCAACAATTTGACAAGCTCCCTCTAGAGGAGGCAATTTCTATTTGTATCCATTTTTTTTTTTTAGGCAAGTCCAACAAAGGAAAATTACTTTCGTTTTACAGATATTTTTCAGATATTTTGTTTCTTTAGAATGCAGAAGGCAACATTGGAATCAGCTTGTTTCTCTTCTTTAGCTATCTGTCAAAATATTCCATTCACAGTCAATGAACCTCTCCAACAATTTCTGTCTCTGACACCCCGTTCCCAGGTTAGAGACGGTGGAAACTTATCCTTCTTCACTCTCTCTCCTGCTAGGTTGAACAAAGTCCCCCCCCCTTTTCTTCTGCTTCCAAGGGGGTTTCAGTAATTCTAAATGAAGGAAATTTAGACTTTTTTGACAGCTTTCCAGGCTTTAGCTTACAAAGTTTTTGCTTTAGTCTATATACGAAAAGCAGAAGGCAGACTTCCTGTTTTGAACCTTCCCGCTTCGTTGCCAAATTAAGAAATTTCTTGATCCAATTTTCCGTTTCTACTCACGGGTACTTGTTTTAAATCCAATTGTCCACAGGAAAAAGTCAGCGCTCTCCGGCAATGGCTGTGCGGCTTCACTCCGTGAAAGTAGCAGTCAGTTCGCAGCACCGCGCTTCTCACCCCACTTCGCTCTGGAGCCCCTAAATGGGATTCCCTGCGAGTAGGGGGGCACTCCTGGTGCCCTGTCGAACCCCATGTTCCCAGGCTTCCTCCGCCTGGGATTTCTAGCGGGTCCCCACCTTCGCTGCGGCGGGAAGACCCAGTTTCCACGGAGCCCGTTCCTCCGGATGGAGGAACTCCATCATTCACCGATGGCGCTGACCCGGAAGTCCCCCAGTGGTCATTTCTCCTCTGGTCAGTTTGTGGATACATGACTTGACTCTGTCTACAGGCTCTGCAGTCATCTGCAAGGGATTCCTTGATAGCCACAGATACAAAAGAAACTGCATTGCAGAGTTCATGACGATTACATTAAGATGTCTCTAAATAGAAACATGGTATAAATAAAATATCAATACTATAAAAAACAAAACACCAGAAGTACCATCAGCCTAACTCAACTTCCAGTTAAACTCCAGAGTCTTCAGAGCAATACTATTTAGCTCTCTTTTTCTAATCTTTTTTGCAGCCTGTGCAAAAATCACCACTTGTGTCACAAAGCTGTAAGGGTCACTCAACAGAAATATTACCGTTTCTGCCAAAGTATTCCTGCTTCCATATGTCAACAAAGGTTTCAGAAATCTCCCTCTTGGATCACTAAATAAAGGACAGGTTAACAGTGAGCATATAATGTCTTCCACCTGATATTGGCCACAAATGCAGACTCACAGGCAACCATCCAGGACTGCAGTTGACATCAATTGAAATCCAACACCATCTGGAAACCCAAGGTTGAAGAACTGGGTAAACCAGAAATGAGTGTGCAGATTTGCACACACAGAAATGTGCCTATGATAATCCATAAAAAAGCAGGTACATGTTTGGATGCAAATTTAGAAATCATTGTCATCACTGATAGCTCAGTTGGTTAGAGCATGATGCTGATAACATCAAGGTCACTGGTTTGATCCCCATATGGGATAGCAACATGGTCCAACTGTGGGTAGATCATCTGGTGGTGGTGGGAACACACAGATCGATTGGATTAGGCTCGATCTTTGCCTGCCTGCTTGCCTGCCTGCCCCTCTCTCTCTCTTCTAGTATCCTTCTCATTCTGTAGCCAGGATTTTGCTGTTTTCCCACAGCAAGTCTCTAGGTTATGCTATGAAACACAAGGGAAGCTGTCAATGTTGCAAATCTCCTTATCAATTTATATGACCACATCGCAATTCCTACATTGCAGGAGGTTGGACTAGATGATTCTTTGGGTCCCTTCCAACTCTACAATTCTATGATTTAAACAAAAAATAAAATACATCTCACCACCATGGGGAAGATTGTGATCTGTGTGCTCCCTCAATTCTGTTGACCAGGTGTTAGCTGCTGATGGGCAGCTAAGCATCCTGCTCTCCCTTCTTGTGTTTCTTTTTATCTTTAAAATAGACATGAACTTGACAGCTCTTCAAATAAAGGACTGTCTTCTGTAAAGTAGAACCCATGGCTGCCCTATCTTAACTTTCAGTTAATCATGGAATTTATCACGGAAACGTTTCACATTTAAAGAAACCGTTAACAATTGCAAGAGGGACACAGGATTTTATGCAACCATACTTTGACTTCGTTCTTGGTAGGGAGACATATTTTCAGTTGTATGCAATACATATTTCTGGCTGATTTGAATGAACTAAGGCCCAGAGTTAAAAACCATCTGCACCTCCTGTTTCCGCCTGAGACATTATTTATGTTTTTGGCTTTGTACCCCTGAGCTAAATACAGAACGTGTAAAGACTGTTAATTAACCCTTGGAGAAATGTGTTTCCCAACAGCATATGGAATGGGAAGATGTTTTTAATCAAGCAGTAAAACTCTCAGGATTTAGACAGGTTTAAATTGTCCTGTTTAATGAACCCAAAGGGAATAGATGTTAAATATTTTCTTAACATCAACCTATGTTGAAGTAAAGTTACAACTGTGTAACACCCAAACAAGAGCCACAGAATTAAAATCTGAATCTTATGAAGCCTCATCAAGGCCAGGGTTGAATATTCCATGATGTGAATGTCTGAGCTTCGGTATTTAGAGCACTTAGCTTAAACATATTGTCTTGGAAGTTACAAAAACCCTTGATTGCAATGGAACTGCCATAAAAGAAAGCAGAAGAATCATTCGTTTCTTGAAAGACTTGGGACAAAGGCCCGCAATGCAAATTTGCAAAAAAAAAAATATGAAGGTACATCTATTTTCTAAATGAAAATAGATATTGGGAGGGTGAAGCTCATCTACTGGACTGCAGTCCTCTACTCTTTTTTGGTAGGATCCCCATGGAAAATATGCATTATAACTTGCTTTTCAGTGAATTAGCCACGATCCAGGGATTGCTGCCGTTCTTCCATACACATGAAGCTTGCTTTGAGAATGGAGGTAAGGTGTTGGAGCTAGTGCACTTGTGACCACTGCCATCTTTCACAGTTTTGCATTTCCCTTATTGTGATGCCTGAAGAGGGCTATAGTCCTGCTAACCGGCTCCTTCTGCAAAGGAGGCTAGGGGTGTAGTCAGACCAAGAATTCTAATTCCCACGATTCTATAGGAGGAGTCATGACACAGAAACCGGCATAAAAATCAGTTTAAATGTATCATACAAAGCTGCCTACAATGTCCTTTGGGATACAGTCTAACTCTGGATCAAGCAGACTTCAGCATATTGATTTCAGTGAGGTTAAGTATGTCTTAATGTCTTTTGGGCAGTATAACAATGATTACTATTCAGCTGTACAGAGTACCAAGTTATTGTTTTCATTCTTTTCCAGATGCTCTGTTAGAACGCTACAATTCAGCAGCTGGGCTTGGATTTTTCTGAAATCTAGTTGTTGAGCTAATGCGCACACACGCACACACACACACACACACACACACACACACACATATATATATATTCTAATTCCCCTCTTGCTCCTTGATCTTGAGAAGTTAGTTGTGTACGTTCCCCCCCCCCCCGAAGATTCTGCTAAAAATAAAAACAATGCTTACATATTATATGTATTATCCTGCATGCACTATTATATGCACAGGCATTCCAGGTTTCCTTTTTTTAAAGACCAGCACATGAGCAGAATACAAACCATGAATATCATTTGGATTATTACTACGTTCTGTGTTTATTTTTGTTTTGTTTTTATTTTGCAAGCCACCCTGTGACCCCTGTGATGAAGTGTGGGATAGAACACTAATTGATTGATTGATTGATTGATTGATTGATTGGTTGATTGATTGATTGACAATAGGTATAATATTCTGTATAATTTCCTAAAGAAATCAGCATATTGAGAGATACACACGCCAAGCTATGTAGCTGTCTAAAAATACTTCTGTGTTAATACTTATCAAATTATACAAATATAGTACCACGTGGGGTGTGACACTTTTATATGTATTATTTGCATAGAATACTTGTGTATAATTTGGCTTGTAATATTTTGGCAAGCTCGTTTGCTATTTCCTGGATTGCAGGAAAAGTTAATCGCTTTTAGGTTACACCAGAAGAGCTAAAATTCATGAAACGTAAAAGTTCTCCTTTTAATAAACAGCTGAAAGAAGTTAGGAAGTACTAGAGGGGAGGAAAAGCTTTCATGAAAACTTCAGAAAACCTTTACAGTGGTTCCACAGCATAGGACACAGCATTTTCAGCATAGAACTCCCGCAAAGGACATTTTGTGAGGCAAAAATGAGTTTGGCTTTTATTATCATTCTATCCCCTAGTTGTAGGATTTGGAAAGAGAAGCATATCTCACATGCCACACTCCCTCCTTCAGTGGTGCAGTTAAGCAATTCTAGACTCTGGACGCCATGCCTTTGCGGGAAGGGGAGTGGTGCCCTGTATATGGCAATGTGTACTACTTCAAAAATTGGCAAATATTTTTCTTCCTCTTCCAAAATGTGGTAAACATTTTGTTCCACTTCCTTCTTGCCTTGAAGGTCAGTGCAGTGATTGAACAGCATAGAGACATAACACTAACATCTTTGGGTATGCCAGTTATTATGTTTTAATATGTGCTGGAAGCTGTCCAGAGTGGCTGGGGCAACCCAGTCAGATGGGCGGGGTATGAATATATTATTATTATTATTATTATTATTATTATTATTATTATACCAACTGTCTGCATAGTTACTCTGCTTCTCCACAGATTGCTTGATTGGTTGTGCATTATTGCTCCAGTCCACCAAAAGCACAGACAAGGCAGCAAAAGGTTTATTGTCATTTCCACCCAATATCACTCCCCTCAGAGGTAGGCACGGTCTGTATGCTGTGGGTTTTCAACCAGGTTTTCAACCTCTATCTTTTTCTAACTGCTTTTTCCCAAAGTCATTTTTTTCTTTACAGGGTTAGATTACAAAATGCAGCTCTGTTTAGTTGTTTTGCTACTCTTTGTCATCCTTTAATCCCTGGCCTTTTAAATAATGGTTGATCGTGCTGTCTTTGTGAATTCTTATTATTTTAGATCCTTGCATTTATTGTGCTTCTACTACAATACTTTGAGCCGCAGGCTACGTCCCAAAAAAGGTGGGGTATAAATATTTTTTATAAATAAATATAAACAAGCACTGCTCTTCTTCTTCTTCTTCTTTTTTTAAGGGCGTGGTGGCTGGATTTCTGTCCTGGAGTTTGTCCCTGACACCACAACTGCTGTCACTCCTCTTCACCACTGTAAAACCAAACAGAAAGAAAGGGGGATTTCCTTCAGTTTTCAAGATTGGTTGAAGGAGGGAAGAGCCTGTAGACCATACATGTGAGGTGCATTAATTTGAGCTGATAGGATTCTGAAAAAGCTTTCTGTGTGGGAAGATGATGACATAAAGGATAAGGCAACAATGAAGTCTTAGGTCAGACATGAGCAGCCAGCAGACCTCCAGATGTTGCTGGACTCCAACTCCCCCCATCCCTGACCCTTGGCCATGCTGGGTGGGGGCTGATGGGAGCTGCAGACTAACGCCATCTCTGAGGGCCACTCATGTTCCCAAGTCCTATTATAGCAGGAGATGTCAGGAATTGAACCCGGAACCTTTTGCACGCAAGGCATCTGCTCTTCCACAGAAAGAATAGCCTCTTCCAAAATGATCTATGTGCACATATGCATGTACATATTTGTGAAGTGTGGCCTTATTACATTTATACCTCGCCTTTCATCAGTGGAGTTCAAGATGGCATGCTTCTCTTCCCCCATTTTATCCTCACAACAACCCTGTGATGTTGACTAGGCTGAGAGGTGGCAACTGGCCAAAGGTCACCCAGTGAGCTTCATAGCTAAGTGGGGATTAGAACCCTGGCCTTCCGGGTCCTAGTCCCGCACTCTAACTGCTACACCACATTGGCTCTTCTACTGCTGAAATTATTTGAGTTATAACAAAGGACATAACCACAAGTATTGTTCTTAAAATATGACAGGGTTGCCAAGTGAATATATACAAGAACAGATATTTGTATATTATTCCCCATACACACTGAAATTCCTCCTACTGAAATTTGAACTCCAGAGAGGTACATGTTAGAACTGCCAGTTCTTCATTTATGATAAGGAATGCTTGCATTAAAATTATGACTGAAAACAACTTGTCACAAGGCTTGTGCGCTCTTACCCCTAAGAACGGTCACTGTAAGATCTTGGAGGCTGCTGTGGTGCCTGAATGCTTTCAGTTTTCATTTAGAATCTCCCCTTCCAAGAGACTCCCGGAGTTCACTGCCCTAACATTTACATCCTCCCTGAACTGGCCCCCAAATATGATGTTCTGTGGCTTGCAGTCCTGCCCGGGAAGAAATCCTTGAATTATTTGCTGATGATAGAAGTGATCCAGGTGGCCAGCAAACTAGCTGCTCAACGGTCTTGTGTGCGTTACAGAAAAGGCAGCCCAACATTCATCAAGCCCTTCCAACAGACTGCAAAAACAAATCTCTCTCAAAATACATTTCATGTACAAGTTCTAAGGGCA